TATTACTGAAATATTCTTCACGTTGCTACTGCAATAAAGGGATGCATCACAAAAAGCACCATGCTGCTGTCCCGAGGAAGCTTTGTGTCTTGTTCACAACTACACATGCATTCTACTCTGCCAAATTTCAAGTTAATGAAAGTCTTCCAAAAGAGAGTGTGTTACTTACAGCTTTAGGTGCAGTGTTTAAGTAGCCAAGGCTAGGCCATAATGTGTTACATCATATCCTAAAATAGTGCAAGTACTTCATTTGCCACAGTTTAAACTGAGTACCACTCTGCTTGAAAAATGAAGTCAGCCGATGCAGATGTCGGAACAGTTAACACACATGCTTCCAGAAACTCATCCTCATTAGCAAGTAGGCTGCCTATTTCGGTACAAGTGGCTGGATGTCTGGGGCAGCCTAACTGCCTTCACAATATAAAATTCAACATTTTCAATATTCCGGATGTCAAAACCTAGCAAATAAATCCCTCTGCCTTAGAGGAACAACAGCTATGGTTTCATTGCCTATTGTTCAAGTATCATGCATGCCCCATCAACACGGGGATCCTAGCATCTGAGTAAAGCCCACCACTGCAATTCATATGGCTCCCTGAATGATGCTCTAACTTATGCCAGCATCTCTCCCAAGAAGCCTACAGTGGGGACAGTATGCTTCATAGAGAAGGCAGAAGCTTTGCTCTGCTTTCCTTCCCTGGCTGGTAGAGTGGGAACGACCTAGGAGCATTGTGAGTGGAGCCGGGGCCTGTCCGCCTTGTTGAGATGGTGGTACCAGCTACATTTACTCCAGCCCCCAGGAACATACAAGACCACTGTAATTCACTGTAATGGCAGCTGCACAGGGCAAGGTCCATGGGTCATGAATTGGGCTGAGTCTGAGTCCACCCTAGGCAGGGACCTGTTTTTTAATTGGTGAGTGGTGGGCAGTGCCAAGGCAGCTCCTGGAAGCAGCTTACTCAGGGATCTCCAAAACTTGAAACCAGGCCTGTCCCAAGTGCTTCTTAATGGCATATTCACTGACCAAGCATTGTGGTACTCAAGCGGATGGTTGCTAGGCATGGGACTGTACTTTTGCCCTTAGTTCTACCCCAACTTATTTTAAGTGACTTAGGTTTAATGATGGAATGTAGCACAGATTCAGAGGCTGCATTTTCCCCAGCATTAGAATCCTAAGAGAACACTGAGACAACATCATTTCAATTAATTTTCAGAAAAAAAATGTTGTACCTGGTAGACAACAGAATATGGTGTGCAGTCATGAATGCCATGATAATGTATTTGAAGACTGGTAAGCTGATATTTTACAGAATGGTTCAGACTCTTGATATATTTTGAGCACACATTATTGGTATGAAAAATCTGTTATAAGCAGCCATTTACTTAATTAGAAACAATATTGTTCTTGTAGTTGAAGTTTTCAGTTCTTATCTAATTCTGCACAAGTATTTCCCGGTGAAAGGACAGGAACTAGTACCACATCCAGCTTCAAGTCACTTTTCCTCACAGTAGAACCACTTGTCCACTGGGTTTGAAGGAAAGCAAATGGAGAAAGTGATCAATTGTTAGCATCATGCTGTATTTCACTAAAATAGTTCATAAGGCAGAGCAAGGCACCATGATGTGAAATAACTTCTTAGAAGTGGGTTATTCAGTGCCAATTTCCATTTGTTTATTCCTGCTTTGGTTTTTAACATGGAGACCAGTGAGGCAACAGTCAAAGGCTTGTGCCCCTTGCACTGCCACAGGTAGACAAGTAACAGGCCTCTGTTAGAACATCTTCTGGAATGCTTGCCAGGCTCATGTTCTAAACTTACATCTGATAATTGGTACATTAGAAAAGCATACCATTGACACTGCACAGGTAATTCCCTCCATGCATTTTAGGAACACAAAGGAAAAATTAACGTGGAAAGCACCTCTGAGTTACGGGGTCATAAACCAGACATGGTCAATATTAATCTTGACACTTTAACAGATGCTTAGATGAGGAAAAGTTGGCAGGCAATATTTCTGAAACAGTGAAGAGCAATTTAAAGGGATAAGCTACCCTTGCTGGAATTCGTATACCTTTGTTAAGAGTTTCCAGGAGGGTAGCCATGTTAAGTTGTTGCAACAAAACCCAAGAGTTTGGTTCAGATAAGTGGACTCTCGTTTGGAAACAAATCACAATGAATTTGTTCATCTTTAATGTGCCATACGTCTTATTGTTGTTGAAAGTATGGCAGCCCTAAGAAAAGACCTGTTGTGATCCCTGGTCTAAGTCTTGCAAATAAAATAGAACTCCATAATTTTAAGTCAGTATCAAACATTTTAAGATGCAGAATGAAAGTTGTCAACTTGTATGTTCTGTTGGAATGGAAGAAGACATGCATTTTTTCTAATTCCCTCTAAATTAAGAAGGCTTACCTTCAGGTGGTATTGGATTGGCATTCCCACAGGCAGGTGCCTGAAACGAACAGTATTAAATAAAAATACTGTTAAACTCAGAAACTAGAATTAGTTTTTTAAATCTAAAAAAAAGTTAGATTTGCGCACAATGCAACTAACTGGAAAAAGAACAACCTTCTGAAACAATATTTATACTTGAATGCATTTTGGAATCAATTTTTGATATTCCAAGGAAATGGAATTACTTATGTTGCAAACATTAAGAAAGCAAGCATTCTGTAATTGTTGCAAATTACTCCCAAGCAGAATCAGTGAGAGTGTTTTTACCAATTAGAATGCAAGTTAAGTCACTGTCCAAACATACCCTACATCAATTAGGGGAAAGGTTGTGTTTTCATCAGGTTAACAGAGAAAGGGAAGAAAGATTTTAGAGTGTTTGTTTTCATACAAGGGACTGATAAAGAGTAATAAAACTATGTGAGAAACAGGAGAGAAGATTGGAGACATGCAATAGGCTGTCCTAGTACTTAGTTCAAAAACTGGAAAGGGCAGATAGCCCATACGGGCTTAGAACAACTTAAGTAAAACATGCCTGTCCATGAACCCTTCCAGGGAGATGAATAATATATTAATCCTGGATTTAGAAGACTGAAATAACCCACACTTCTATTTATAGTGTCATTAGTGTTGCTCAAGGGCCAGCTTGGACATCCTGTGCCATAGACGACCATCACAGAAGAACAGGAATCCTACATTTAGGGGTGCAAATGCTTTAAAATAGTATACCTGTGTACACATGCATGCAAACCTATGAGAAATTGTAGCCTGCACTTTGTATATAACCAAGTCTGCTTAATTTTGACATTTGTCTTCACATTCCGATCATGCTTGTTGCATGGACAGCTAATAAGCTGGTAGGACAGAGAAATTCACCGCTGGAGCAGTAGAAATATTGGTCCTTCACCAGTCACTTTTACTGCCCACACAACATAGGCACAAAGAGCTAGAACTTAAAAACAACAGATGAAGATGCCAATTTCTGGTGGTTTTACTAGCTTTGCACAAAATACACACAGTCCTATCCAGTGAGATGTCACAAGAGAGATATAAATGTTAAACAGATCTGCTTACCGCTGTCACAGTAGCTGCAGCTGAAGTTTGATCGCAACGGAGAGGGCTATCTGCCAATGTTGTATTTACACTAGAAGACAAAGTTCAGTTGTAAGAATAAACTGTTTTCTTCCGATGTATTTACTTAAAACAAGTCTTGAAATAACTGCAATGCTGACAAACAAATGCTAAGGCAAGAGTACGGGGTGTTGGCTGAATTTGCAGAGTGTGACAGATCACCCGGGCAATAAGCCAGAGTAGGATGGTTCATTTGTGAAGCGCCCATGATGAGCCTAACCATGGTAGGTTGTGCTGCTGTCCAAACCAGGCCATAGTGTGAGCAAGACTAACCTTACTCATCGGATTCCACCTCTAAAATACTGAACCCAGCAGAGTAGTAACTTACCAGCAAATCTCTCCATCAGTTTTTTTATTCACTAGAGTCTTCCAGAAGTCATGAGTGCTTCTGATGACATCAGTTGCAAACTTCTATGATTAAAAAACGGAATTCAAGTTCAGTACCTCTTGTTAATCACTGTGGTACAACAATGCTTTAGTTGGATACGATGTGTGTTGTCTACTTTCTCTAGCAGTGGAAGAAAAGCTAGGTTATACCTACAGAGGCATGCATTGGCACATTTCAATTTGAACACCCCACTGCAGCATTATCTTTCTCTATGCAAGAGCTTCGTTCTCTTTGGACAGAGACATGTGTGAGGAAGAATGAACAAAGATCTTGAGCTGACACTACACATGCCCCTGATTGGTGGCTAGAGCAAGGGCCATTGTTTTTGAAGAGATGGAAAGCTCATAATATTTTCTTCACCCACCTATTCATTTCCGCACAAGCAGGAACAAAAGCAAGAAATATTTTATATAGGTAATCATATATAGCCTTTTCTAAGTCACAGGCTGTCTCAAAATCAGCAGGAAATGTATAACTACTCAAAATATAAAAAGCTGACAATATCAGAAAAAGTAGCAGCTAAATTATCAACCAATAATTATTCAGAAGGAACTCCTGTAAGCAACACCTGTTTGGGCAGAATCTCTCTTTTCACTATGTCAAATGTTTGCTACCATTTATCCACATCTTTCTTTATGCAAAGGAATGAGCAGTTGAGGAACAGAAAGGAAGCAGTTTTATGCAGCCGGTTATGCACACTGGAGAGAAATGTGAGATGGAGGGTGTGGAGGAAGCTGGAATTGACCCATCTAAGTATGCTTTTCTAGTTTACACTTGTTTATTCACAATGCAACAGAAAGTTCTACCTCGTCTTTGAATGTCACACCCTCAGTGTACCCATGAACTCCCATTTCTACCCCTTGAAAAGAACCTTTCTGTACCCAGAAACTCCCAACAACTTTCTCTAGGAGTACATCTTATCCAGTTCACCCCTCTGACACACAGGATTTTGACCTGAACCCCTCAAAGAACCAAAAGAACCCAGCAAAAATCCAGGAGCAGATGAGTCACAACTTGCTGAGAAAATATTAATGCTCCGATTTCTTTGTATACAGGAGGAATCTCAAGCATTGCAAGGAAAGTTTGCTCTCCACCTGACTAGCTGGGCCCCTTCTTCTGGAAATCCAACAGCTAACTTCACTTAATTCTTTCAGCAATATACTTTCACTAAAGAGCTGGAGTGGATTAAGTTTCTTCACACAGCGGTGGAATTGGTTTTATGTATATTGTCTAGATCACTGTACACTCTCGAATCAGTTGTGGTGTTTAAAGAAAACTTGTACAAAGATCTGTCATCCTCAAGTGCAAACTTTAAGCCTGAAGACGCCGTATGTTCAGTCTAAAATAGTCATTTAATAAAGTCCAATAAAGAAGCAAAAGGGGCAGTAGTTAGGGAGGATTCTTGTCAGGATTTATATGCCTAAACTATGGAAGAAACTGAACCTACCTACCAATTTCCAAATTAGTGAATATGCATCACAAGAAGAAACATGGACTAAGCTGGCCTTCCGTGCTATTGTCAATGACTGGAAAAAGGAGTTCGTAACAGTTGGTGCTTTTGATTCTTTTAGGGCTTGTCATTTTATTAGCAGGCAAGCGGTGAAGAGCATCAAACACTGGCAGATATCAGTCATGTTGTTTGTTATGTGCCGTCAAGTTGTTTAACTTGTAGCAGCCTTATGAATAGAAGCTCTCCAAGATGCCCTCTGCATGACAGCCCTGCCCTGCTCAGCTGTTCTAAATTCAAGGCCATGGCTTCCTTTATGGAGTCAATCCATCTCTTTCTTGGTCTTCCAAGCTTACCTTATTTTTAAATTCTCCATTGAATGCAAATTTGTTTTCTGGTTTCCCGTCAGGTACCTTGTATCTTCTAAACCAGTCTATTGTAGCTTCCAGGTATCCAGGTTTCAACTTCCTGACGTCATCAATATCTTACATTTAAACAAAAGAATTACAAATTCTGTCAGAGGTTTTGCTCCCAACAAAACTAACAAATACAATCGGGGAGGTGTACTTTCCAGGGCAAAGAACAGGCCGATTTGCCTCAACCCATCCATTATGTCTGGCTTCTTTTCAATAGCCCCTAGCAAATGTCAAGAAGAAGTTTGTAGGGGACCTACAGAAGCGGATACATATGAGAAATGTATAGAAGTTATCACTTCCACGTGTATTTTGTTACTCTGGAGAGCAACTAAAATTAACAACTGAATGTTTTTATATTTTTCCAGTCGCCTTTGTTGCAAAGGTAAGTCTGACAATCTCACTGAAGATCAGTTCAGATATAATAATGGTGCTAATTTTAGATATATATCCACATATAACCCTAGGAGAGGATATTCAGTGAAAGATCATTCAAAACTAGGCTGAGCACAACACCCAGAAATGGCAGCCCTACTAAATACCAACACGAACGGAGCATGGAGGCTCCAGCAGATCCAGTCACACTTTAAGCTCTAACCTGAGATCCCACTTCCGCTTAGGTAAGCCAACTCAAAATGGAAGGGTTTCATCGCTATAGATATTGCCTCAAACTGTTTGGTCTTTCACACAAGCAGAACCAACCGCTCATATAACAGGAGCCAGTCATTCCAGATTAGCCCCTGAAACACACCCAACACTCTCTTTGGGGGATGTTTCCGAAACCGCAATTTGCTGTATTAGTGGGGTGTTCTGCTAGTGGTTTGGCAATACAGGATGCTGCCCTGTGCTTGCACTTGCCTCAGCAAGCAAAATAAAAGCCACTGCCCTGCTTTGGGCATCATACAGCCTTCATCCCATTTGCTTCCTTGCCTGTCCCATCAGCAAAAATCAAGCTTGATCTCATCTAACTGGAATGGATTTCAGAAAATTTACTTTGCTAAAGACTTCATACGCTGCTTGTGGTGGCAATGACAATTCCTGACAAAGTTAAGGGTGCACAAGCAGTTGCCCACAGGTCACCGCTGAAGCCAGCTGCCAGCCAGCTGCTACTCACTTCCAGTTCTTCGCAATTGTGAGCCGCCCCGAGGCTTCAGCAAATGGGGCAGCATAGAAATGTTTTAATTAATTAATTAATTAATTGCTATTTTCCCCCGCTGGATGATGTGCTAGGAATGGACCAACCACAGCAGGACGTGTAGAACTTCCAGAGGATGCTCTAGAAAAGTCTCCTATGATAGGAACCATTCACAGCTCTGACAAAGTGGATCTCGGAGCCGTTTTTAGAGGCTGGAGAATTTATGTGGGACAGATACACATGGTGGGAGATGGGACCACGATGTGCACGCACACAGAAAGGTAGCTCCTGGTTTCAAAGCAAAAGCTCAAAGTAGCCCTGGGGGAGAAAAGGTTACACCTCCCCCCGCCCCAGCATGCTAAAGGTTCAGTAACCTGCTGCCGTATGTACAAATCTGGAAATACACTGTCCCCATGACATGAACGGTATCATGCCAGTCTTGCGCTGTACCAGCCTCACCCTTTCATACTGGTAAATTAAAGCAAAACATGATGCCACAAACCAGCTCAATTCAGGGCTACTCACCATTAAACTTAGCAGCTTCAGGATCTTCGACGTTGATTGCAATGATCTTCCAGTCCGTTTCACCCTCATCAATTAATGCCAACGTACCTAGAACTTTCACTTGAATTATTTCTCCTCTACTGCACACCTGTTTCGAGGATTTACTTCATCAGTAAGGGGCAAGATTGTAAAACTCTCTCTAAATACCATTATATGTTACATTATGTGCCGTCCCTCTCAGGTTTACATCACCCGTTTGACTATTCAGTTACATGATGGAGCCAGAATTCTACCTAAACCAGAGATAACCAATATACAGCACCCAAGACCTTTAAGGAAAGTAGTTCAGCTTTTGTATTTTATAAGTATGCACTGTACTGGTGCAGACAGATTTTAGAATGCAACTGCAAAAGCCTGTAGCTAGATTGAGAACATGGAGACAGAAAGCCTCATTGTTTTTAGCTATCATGACATCTGACTATATCAAATGCTCTCCAACATGCCTTGGAGATAACAGCTTCAAGACAATATCATAGAATACGCGAAACTTGTCTTGGCATCTGTCAGGATTAAATGCTCTCAACACATTGTTTCATGGCCTTTTAGTGCCACTGTTTCCAAACCTCCTTTGCAGAACTATTATAATTCCAGCTAAGAATAACACTTCGTGCATCTGACTCTGTGGCATAAGCTTTAAGTCTTTATGTCGTCACAGGACTCTTTAGCTGCTTCTATTGCAAAGCTTTCACTCAAACTCATTACGCCACGGATGTTAAATCACATTATGTTAACATGCAAACTGCGATAAGCTTTACAGTTCTGAAATTTCCAGGATGCCAGTATATGCCAGGGGTCTCAAACTCAACTTACCTGGGGGCCGCTGGAAGTAGAGCCTGGGTGAGGCTGGGCCACATCAAGTATTCCACCCCCGCGGTGGTGGTGGGCCGCTCATCCCGCGTGGCTCCCGGAGGCCGGCCCGGGCGCCGCTGGCGCTGTGAAGGCCGCAGGGCCCCTCCCCCGTGCCCCGCCTGTCCCGGCAATTGGCCCGCGGGCCGTGAGTTTGAGACCCCTGGTATATGCAGAACAAATTATCCATGTTAATTTTACTGGCTGAAAACTTACCATGTTATTAAATTGCACTGTTTTATGATAAAGTCTAAGCTTATTATCTGATATCCAGTATTAGTCCTATGTTCAGCAGATCCATCAAAATCCATGACCCAAGTTATTCATGATTAAACAAAGTTCTGCTCATTTCAATGGATCTACTCTACAGAGGTAAAACATTGGATACCAGCCACCATTCTACAAGACACTTATGATGTATGCATCAATAAAGTTTCACAGAGGCTGATAAAGTCACCACCTCTAACTCAAAGACAACTTTCATTACCTTGCTTCCAATTTCACAAACATCAATTGGGTCATTATCACCACAACAGCCAGTGTCTGTATCTTGATGTACTGGATCTTCCCACGTCTGAAAAGCAGCACACATAACTTGAGTAATATTGGATCTAGGAATTCAGAGTTGCAGTACATGGCGTCCATTTAGCCCTGTAATGAAGGATTTCTTCCCAGACCTACCTGGGGGTGTTGGGGAATGAATGTGGAACCTTCTTCATAAAAAGCATATGTCCTACCAGTGAGGCACAGCTCCTCCCCACTTTATATCCTGGCTTATCACTATGGCACTGGACTACTCTATTAGTAGGCATAATTTTACATTTAATAATGTTTTCCCTTAAAATATTCTATCAAAGCAACCTCAAACTGCCCTTTGTTCATTAACAGCCAATGAGTAAGTAGCTGACAGCTGTGATGTTTTTATTGTTAGAGGAAAAGGAAAACCAAAGGGTCCAAGGAAAAAGTTTAATTTTTTCAGGTAGTTTTATGGCATTTGTATAAGGCAATTGTTAACATTCTTCCAGATAAATGAACCACAGAATTTTTCCGTAAATGAATCCAGCATGAAAATGCTAGAGGTATTTGTGAAGTAATACTTAATTAGATTTGGAGCATAAGCCAAACATTCTTATGTATGCATCTTTACAATTTCCCTCACAGCCAATATAGACATGTTGGTAACAATAACCAGAAGGTAACTGTGATTTAGGACTGCTGTAAGAGAAATTGTCCTACCATCCTTCCAGGTCATAGCAACTTATTAAAACCCTTGCAAAGACATTTCCAGAGCATTTTACATTTGATGCAATGGTATATATTTGTTCCTACTGCTAATCTCAGGAAGAAATTTGAGAAGAAGGGTAGTCAAAAATCCTCTATGACTGCAAGACAGAAAATGTACTTGGGCAAAGCAAGACTGAGGCAATTATGTGGTTAAAAGGAACAGGATTTAAATCTAGTTTTAAAAAGTGCAATTACAGTAATCAAAATACGAATGCCTGACATCACCATCAGCCTTTTTATCATTATCCTTACTTGCTAAGCAGTGGAGGATTCATGAAAATGAGAAAAAGCAGTCTTGATTAAAGATCAGTGCCTTGGATGTGAATTGCCTAATGTCTTTTAAGGTGCACTCCTATGTAGGTTTCAATAAAAGAAAGTCTTACAACTCCCAGTACCTGGAAGCTGCAGGAATATTTATTGCTAAACACACACAGACTTGCACCCTTAATAGAACACTATAATGTTTGTGCTACAGCAACAAACCTATTCTAAACCACAGATACCAGAGACAAGTTTTCCTTCCCCGTTTTGGACCTATTTAGTGCTCTGGAAGCTTCGGTCCATTTTAGAGAGTTTTAGTCGATATTCTTTCAATGCTCACTTCAACCAAACTGGCTCTGAAAAGGCTTTATAAAGTTTAAGACAACTGTAACATGAAGAGATTGGTTGTTTACAGCATACATGGAAGTCATACTTTTCTCCTGAGGTTTTGCTAACAGTAGAACATACAGTAGCAACAATTTCCCTTATTAGTGTTTGTTTTTTATTGTTACCAGGATCTATGCAACAAAGAAAAGAATATACTAAAAATACCTGTGGAATTGCACCATAATTCCATATATATCCCTTGTGGGGAAATACATTAGCAACGTAACGTAGTTTTCCTTTTTTCACATCTTGCTTAATTGGGTTTAGAGGATCTTTGGTTGCAATCTGAAACAGAGTATACTTAGTTCAGTACTCAGCCAAGGACTCAAAAATAAACCAATCCCAGGTGGAGAGTAAGCTGATTTCCTAACAGCTTCCTGTTGCTTCACTTCCCATTTCTACAGTAAAATATCCAGATTGACAAGACCCACATGAACTTAAGTTCAATGTGACTTGCTTGCAAGCGTACCTACATGGCAAATTTAGGATAGACAGCAGTGTCTGTACCAAGTTGGCCAGCCGATTTGGCATTTGCCAAACTGATTTTGGCAGAGCTGAAGGTGACACAGTTAAACCATGGATTTGCAGCTTCTAATCACATCAAGAAATTACCTCCATTTTAGCATTGGTCCATCGAGGTATTTCTACAACCATGTTGAACACTTCCTGAAAAGATTAAGTAGAAAGGCTTATGTTGCATTATATATACCATGTTACTGTAAAACTAGAGGTGTATGTTTATGTAATGACTTTGTGTAGTTTATAGTTTTCTCAAGCCATCAGGTAATAGTTATCCTTTGATAACTGCCAGAATTTTAGGTGGAAGTAGCAAAGCATTTTTACTTCCACCTAAAAGTAGGGCTTTTAGATGGAAGAGGCAAAGCATTCAATCTTCAAGTAAGCTTCTCACCGGAGAATATAAACTATAATGCTTTCATAAATTGATCAGAGTGGGAAGGGATGATCGTTCCCTGAGAAGATGAATGAAATAGGCAGCTTTTTCAGCATCTAACAGAACCTACTGCTTTAAAATTCAGAGTTAAAAGCTTAGGGAGCACTACTATAGTAGCATTTTGCTTCCATTTGTGCCTGAAGATTTTCTACATCACAGTAACTGTTTTAAAATCTGCATTTACAGACCAGTAGCAGAGCAAATGTCACTCTAAAACTAGGAAAATAAAAGTCAGACACCTATCAGTTTAGCATAGTCTAGAAGTGGCCATCATGAGATGAAATTCCCGTGTTATTTTCAGTTCCCCATCTCTTTGCCCCCACTGCTTTTTCTATCCTGACTTTTCTTCCTTCTCGGTAAAACTCAGCAGCAAATTTAGAGCCTCAGAAAAACAAATATAGCCTATCCTTTAAATTCTCCATAATGGCTTGTGAGCAAAATTTGCTGGGAAGCCACCAGTTTCATTGCCACCATTCTGCCAGACTGGTAGTAGAGCAGCAGTGCAGCCCACAGGATGGGGAAGCCAAGGAGGGTAGCAAGGGCCTCGTGAACTCACCAGCGCTGACCACCCACTATATACCCTCAGTGCTTAAATGCCTGATAGAGCATTTTAAAAAATTGGCACACAGAACAAGTGCTGAACTTTTCAGAGAAGTAAACAGCAATTCATACCAGCATATTTGTGGCTATTCTCTAAGGAAAAGAGAACTACTAGAGTCTTGAATATGCAAAACATCAGGTTGTTGCTATATGTAAAGAAAATTGGTTTACTTTGCCATGCTCTGGGCAAGTACAGAAAGGTACACATACACTGAAGGACAGCAGCCCAGGTACTGATAAATTTAGAACACCATCAATCTCATGCTGAGAGAGACTTTACAATCCTCTCAAGATCTTAAAGATACCAGGATTAGGAGCAAGAGTTAGAGACAAGACTATGTAATGTAACCTTTCGCCCTAAACTGGACTCCCTAATTTGGCTGCTACTGACGCTGTGGAAAAATGTGGAGAAAGTTGAGGAAGAGAACCATCCTTGTAATAAAAACAAAAGTAAGTGAAATCCGACCATCTGTATTCTATTGTGTCATTTAATTCCCAAGATAATACTGCGCTTGCTTCTGAGCATGTGCTTTTGGACTTGTATCTGAAACGGGTAAGCCATCAGTATGTCGACTCCGAACTAGCCAAGCCTGGCTGACCCTTGTGATCACTCCCATGACTGGATATTAAACTCCTGTTTTGATGGCTTCTCTTCTTGTTAAGCCTGCAAATTCTACTATTATTGTTTTTAGTTTCATACGAACACACAAGCACTTTCTAACAGCAGGGTAACAGACAAAACAAAGAACGGATAGTCAAAAGTTAATTATAACCAGATTTGGGTCCAGACTCAATCTGTACTTGCTCATTTATATATTTGTATGCAGATTCATTAATATTTACTCATTAGATTTCTATCCCACCCCTTTAGCCAGAAAGGGGTATTATTTAAGTTTCGCATAAGTAAAAGTCAGCCAATTGATTTCCCATTCAAATAATCCAAAATTTAATTTTTGAGTTAGCTTGCACCCAGTGCTGGATCATTTCAAACCAATGCAAAAAGACTGGAGGGCAGGGGAAGATTCTGGAGGGGGGAGTGTTGACTCAGGCAAGGGGAGTAAGGTTAACCCTTCCCTTGCCAGCTGTAACTCCTATTGCAAATTAAAGAAAAGTCTTTGCTAGCCTCCTTCCCTCCATGTCCAAAGCACCATTGCTAAATAGACAGAAAAGCATGTTTAACCAAATGCGAGGTATGAGAACAGGGAGGCAAAGAGTCAAGTCTGGAGGCTTACAATCTCAACTGAACTGCACTGTTAGAAAGATATGCCCCCCAAAACATACTTACAGTGGTTAATGCATTTCTGATAAGTTTTGTTTTAAAATTAACTGAAATGCTATTTTTCATCTCTCCATCCCAGCTAGTTCTGACATCCAAACAGAATTTGTTCTACTGTGCTGCATAAACTTTACTTGGTTATCCTTATTATCATGGCTTCTAATCCAGCTATTTCTGCATCCTCTCAGAACCAGTCTGTGTTAAGCAAACGGCAGTGTACCAAGATTCACCACCTTCCAAACTAAAACACATGCTTCCTTTTCTGACATTGTTGCCTAGTGTTCTACAAGCTAAATTAGTTGCATATGCAGACAAAAATAAGTGGCACCAAAGTCGTCGTTGCACAATCATTTAGAATTCCTACCTTAAACTTTATATTTAAGAATGCATTGCATAACAATGCTATAATTACTTCAGTTTCATATTTTATATTGCTCTGATTATTGCTACTAATCTGTTTTAATAGTATAAAATTGTACCAAATGCTTTACAATCCCTGATATTAAAAATAATTTCATTAGCTGCCCTGTCATCTCATTCAATTTGTAGCAGACATTTGGATTAACAGAAAACTTATCAATAACAACATTTTCTCCTGTGACAACATTTTGGTTGCCCAAATAACTTAGTTTAGCCAATTCTTTTCCCTGGAACTTAAGGATTTCACTGCACCAAACTACATAATACCTCTAACCTACTTGCTGAACCCAGTAACAATTTAAGAAAAAACTATGTAATAAGGCAAGCAAACTTTGTTCTATTTAAAACAAATATTCTTCGTCCAATAAACATGGTTCACTGGGTCAAGAATATGCCTTATTTCAAGTAGTCAGTCCTGCTCTGATATCCTGGTTTGTAAGGAACATTTACACCAGTATGCTACTTGAGACATAACAGTAAATTGGATTAAACAAACCATACAATCAGGTTGTGTAGGGGAGAAGCTACAACATGAGGATCAAGAACCTGGGCACAAAGTGCATTCATTCTCGGCCCAACCATGCTTTATCAGACAGACTGTTAATTTGAAGCGACCCATTGTGCATAAATACATTCTTAGTTGATAGAAATGAGAAAAATTCTTGAGCACCAAATAAGCTGCAGAGAGAGTTGTAAATGGGCTGAAAAAAATTCCCTATAATCTGGAAATGGACAAGAAAGAACGTGCAACTAGTAGGTGAACCAAATGCTACTTCAAGCATTACTGCCATGAGTTTTTCATTTTGCTCTGATGTGGCAGATAAGCATGAAATGCAATTAATCAGCTTCTGTGTCTTCTCAAGAGTCCTAGCTCAGAAGCAACAAGGCAGTTCATTTCTTCCCAAAGGAAAGTTGGATTAGCTAGAAGCTGCTTTTAAAGTAAAGAGAGCAGATGTGGGGCTAGACATGAACTATGACCGGAACATGATGGCAGTAACCATTTTTTTCTTCTCAGCTTTGTTTAAGAAACACTTCAGCCCAGCTCAGATGTAGCAGCAACTTTCAGTGACAATCTGTGGGCTTATTTAAAACTTTTCTACCCTGTCCACCACTGACGTCTTGGGGCGGCTTACAATAAACGAACAAATAAAATAAAATAAAACAAAACAAGCACAGCCTCCAGCAACTCAAGATAAAAACGCCAGTTAAAACCAACCAGACATTAAAACAGTGGGAAGATAAAAAGGTTTTCACCTGACACTGAAAAAAATAGTGTTGGTGCCAGGTGAACCTCTCTGGGGGGCATATTCCAGGGGGGCGTATTCCATAGTTGGGGTGCCACTGCAGAGAAGGCCCTTCTCTGGGTAGCCATCATCCTGGTCTCCTTCAATGAGGGCTCCCGGAGCAGGACCTCCACCTCAGATCTGAAGGGGCAGGAGGGCACAAAGGGACGAAGGTGCTCCTTCAGGTATCCAGGACCGAAGCCAGTTAGGGCTTTATAGGTCATCACCAGCATCTTAAATTGGGCCCGGACTTCAATTAGCAGCCAGTGTAACTGACAGAGGACCAGCATTATGTGTGAATACCTGTTGGTCCCTGTTAACATCCTGGCTGATCTATTCTGAACCAACTGAAGTATCTGGACCGTCTTCAAGGGCAGCTCCATGTACAGCATGTTGCAGTAATCCATCTGGGAAGTTACCAGAGCATGGGTCACCATTGCTAGGCAGTGCTAAAGCAGGTAAGGGCGCAATTGGTGGATCAGCCAAAGCTGAAGGAAAGTGCTCCTCGCCACTGCTGCCACCTGGGACTCCAGGGACAGCTCTGGGTGGAGGAGCACTCTCAAACTGCGCACCCTGCCCTTTAGGGGGAGTGCAACCCCATCCAAGACAGAGCTAAAGTCACTTACCCGGAAGGCTGAACTGCCCACCAACAGGACCTCCATCTAATTAACGAACCCATGAACTGTGAGCATACAATACTTCATGCAAAGTTTTTCCAACAGCAACCTACGAATGTAACATTTGTACTTTGTTTCCATGATATCCAGATTAAGACACCTGGGATTGTCTATAGGATAAACAATTCTAAGTGACCCCACAAACAATGAGTTCACTTGCACTTGTTTAACAAATGAACAATCATAAATCCCCAGGTTTGGACATGACAGGGAAAAACAAATGCCCCATTTGTAGGTGGCTGATGGAAACCAAAGGTGGCACACGTTCCTGCAACTTGTGGATTACTTAACCTATAATGGATGCTGAACGCTGAAGTAACATCCAAAGGTATTTACTTTGTACAAACCCACTATTCCTATTTTGAGCAGTGCAGCTTAAGTAAAGCTTGACATCAAGAAAGCTGTATCAATTACTTTGGTTAACAAGCACAATCAGAAGTCAGGTTGCAGTGAATATATACATGAACAATTTTTTTCTTCAAGATGAACTAGGTATGTAGTAACTAAGCCAACGTTACATAGCCTACACCACAAAACTACTCTTTATAACACATTACCTTGCCATCATCTGCATATATCGGAATGTCATGAAATGGAGAAATATATTGTCCTTTATCATTTTCTGGAAAAGAAAAGGAAGTCGAATGAAGATGATTTGTTCAGTTATACTTAATACAAGTTTAAAATAAAAGTACCACAGACAATTTAAAGGATAGTGTTCAATTAACATGTTCCACCAAAGGAAAATTCCTCTTGCTGAATCTGTTTTGGAGGGTTGGGGGACCCCCTGGGGCTCAAGGGATCTGCAGAGGAGAGGAGAAAATCCAGTTGTGCAACTTGGGATTTCAATCAATGAATTTGAGTATCTACAGAAAAACTAACCAATACTGCCCTTATTGCAGGTGGGTTTTGTTCCAATGAAGCCACTGCAACAACAGAAGTCTTATAAAGCTCCTGTCTGACCTAGCTTCTCATGACAGAGCTGGCACTACTGCCAAATCTCTGGACACCCTGAAGGTCATCTTCATTTAATGTCAGTACAGTGCTTTGGCTAACCCTACCAGTTTCTTTTAAGTCCCTACTCTTACTGCAGGAATGCCAGTCCTCCTAGATACGTATTTCAAGACAAGTTCTATCTGAAGGGCAAGCTATGAGAACGTCTGGAAATCATAAAATCATCAGAACTACAAAACACAAGTAAATAAATTCCTATCTGTCATCAAGGGAAAATTGAGGTTATGTCATTACCTTAAAATAGTCAGTTTCGTCAAATATGATCAGAAAGCTTTCCTGCATGCCAAACAATAAGAATGATGCTGCAAACTGTTTTATATGTAGTTCAACATATGCCACATTCCCATCCCTTTCAAGCCCTCTTCAAATATACAGCACCACTTCTCCAGGCCAACTTCCCACACAGCGGCATTGTGTGCATTTGTGAATACTGCACCTACACACACTGCAGTCGTGTCAATGGCTTAACCGGTCTTGTGATGTAGTTTGTGCCCGCTAGTGTAGCTTTTTTAATTCAGTATCAAATTTGGCTTTTACAATTTGTATTGATTTTATGATGTCTTTGTTATTTCGTATTTTATATCGTATTGTTATTGTATTTTATTTGCCGCTGTCAGTTGCTCATAGAATTTCAGCTATTGTGGGGTATAGAAATAGAATTAACAATCACCATGTGAACAGGACAAATTTTGTGCATTTTTGCAGCCCATCAGTATACCTCCCTTTCAATGGGGTGGAGAACCCCCACAAAACTAGCCCATTCATGCAGCTGCAGTATTCACCCAAGCCAATGCAACCACATTAAAATATTGTAACTCAACAGTAGTTCCTACATGTCTTGGCTCACACATGAAGGAGGTCCTAGTTACACCCAGATTTGGGGCCATAGCTTCAGTGCAGAGAACATGCTGCCGGAGGAAAAAAGCTCTGTTTAAGGTGTTATACAACTGACCGCAGAAAGACATTTGCCTAACCCTACAGCTGCCAGAATCAGGGACAGGGACAGCTATTTTGAATAGACCAACAGCCTAACCCAGTACAAGGCAGTTAAAAGGGTTCCATTTTGATTGTGTAGCTATGTAAAATAGAGACCAATGCTAGCTTGACGAACTCAAAATATTCATGGTTTGAAACACTCAGGATTTCATCTAGCATAAAAGAAGTATACTAAATCATGTTAACTTTCATTTTTCAGAGTATTTACTTTAGTAGATTTTGTACTAGCTGCCTGCCTCATAGCAAAACAGAAAGTAAATCTTGAAAGTTATGGTGCGAACAATCTTCAGGAAGTCCAGTATGAAGTTATACTTTAATTTTTAAACAAATTGATTGTGCAGTGTTACGGGGGATGCCGCCAACCCTCTGGATTAAAAGAATTGTGGCCATCCTATGAAGGCTCCCCCTCTGCAAACAAATTTTAGCTGTCTAACTATGGCACTTTGGGGGACGGGGGGTAGACCTTGTACCTTAGCAGGGCCAGTTTCTACTTCCCCTCTATTTCTCTTAAGGTGACTGGGATTTCTCTTTCTGTTTCCAGCAGCAGCAGCTGAATTCATGATCATGCTTATGGCTGCCTGCCAGGTCACACTAATTAAGCAATCTCTGGATGATCTCATATCCTTACACTTTTCCCTACACAGTGAAAACTGGAACTGTTTTGGGGTGGGGCACTACCAGGATGAAAATCATCTTAAGGGATTATACTGTAGGAGGTTTTCATTTTATAGCCATGTTCACTGCCTGTATCTGTCAGGCTGTTCAGACTTTAAACCCAAGGGCTGTTTGCTGAATAGGGAAGGGTTGGATTAAAATAGCTCACCTGCCAACTACTGAAGCATCAAGCATTTTTTTTTTCAAAATCCTATACCCAAACCACAAAACTCACTGCCACTGTGCTCCCATTCAAAGTCTTTATTCCATACCTTCTGGGTTGCTATTGCCCAGATCAGAGGTTTCTTCTGCACAAGTAGCCATTAACCTCTTTTTACCAGGCACTCAGAAAACAGTCTTAAGCGCTATTCCCATTCCTAATCCTCCCAAAGAAGTAGGCATTACTCCACTGTAAATACTTTCCTGGACTTCCTCATTAATGCATTTTTCCAAGATTCAGTTACTTGCTTATAGCTTTTAACTAGCCTTGAAAGAAGTCATAGGAAGGGGGCAGTAAAAGTTGTAAGAGCATTTAAAGTTATAATTATTTCAGCTTAATTCATCTGGAATGCATAGTCTTGCAGCCAGAAGCATTAATTAAGGGAGTATCATTGCAAACCACCCCAAATCCTCAGAACAGATTTCATGGCAAACATTATTCTCCTTCTAATACCTGCAACTTTAAGATTGTAATTGACTCTATTTATTCTAGAACCCAAGTTCTGTCAGAGGTTTTGAAGGAAGGCATCATTCTACACTCTGATCTCCTGATTCCAGATTCCATCTCTTCTCTACACATCTTCCAAAATATTTGTCTCCCCCAGTGCACTATGGGAAATTGTGACAGAGGTGCCAGGGCTTGAATGTATTCTGGAAGCCATACTCTTTGATATGGAATCTGCACCCGAATCTCAAATGTGTGGTACCCCAACCAACAAGCCTGGGGGAAGGTACTCTTTGCACTTAGTCAAAACTACTTTTATTGTATGTCCCAGAGGACTTATTTTCTGATCTGCAAGCCACTGTAAGAAATCTTTAAGTAATAAAACCCCAAATTAATAGCTGAAAGCCAAGAAAGAATCTCAAGAGAAAGGAAATTCCTTCACCCATATTGCACCACAGCACTTAATTATGATGCCAGGACAGAGTTTGGGGGGTGCACGGAAACCACAGTATCTAACCCTGACAGGTCATGACCCCAATTTCCCCTGCCTCGCTGGGATCATGGAAGCTATGAAAAACATGTGAAAGAGGGGCATTTCATAGTGTCCTTTCAGTGGGTTTCCTTCAATGGGTTGGATCAGAGGAATTACTTTTTCCTTCCAATCGCAATGAATACCCCGCCACCTCAAAGTGGATGACACAACAAGGAAGAGGAGATTTTGGGGGATGCATAAAAAAAACCCCTTCCTCTGGGCAGGAGTGCAGAAGCTTTTCTGCCTGGAGTGTCTAATTCTAATTTCGAAGAAGCCCTTGAGAGACAGGTGCAGTAGGTGGAAGCAGAGGCAAAAAAGGACAGGACCAAAGGCAGAAATGGCAAATACTAGCATACTTCAGCTTAAGCCCTTCCTAATGGTAACCTAAATTTAAGAGAAGAATTTCAGCCTGATAAAGCTGCAGAAACCAAAGGGTCAGGCTGAAGTCTGGAACCGGCCAAGAGAGTCTACAAACCTAACCTAGGATGGATATCCTAAGAGAAACCTGCTTGCAGCATGCATGCATTATCCTTTGTTTTCATAATTTGTGCCACCCTTGACTATGCAGGCCTGTACAGCAGCAAAAGAGAGAGAGAGGGAGAATGGTTTTTAGCACATCCCATTGGCAGGCTATCTCCTTCTCTCTAATTTCACTAGGCCACCCATTTCAGTATTGCACAAAACAATACAACAGCCCTGTAAGGGACAACAGTATCATCTCCGTTCCAGAGCAGTGTGAGAAGGCTGAGCCCTACAGAAAATGGCTTGCCAAACCTCACTGAACAAGAAGCAAGATTTGACCAATGGAGTGCCCCGCCCCCCATTTTCAAAGGTCAAATTACCCAGGATTAAGTCCTCATGAACATGGAAAATGGGAATAGATCCCATTGACCTCAGTGAGACTTACTTTTAAACAAGCATGTACAAAACTGTCCTCTAAGTCTCTTGGGCTCCAATTCCATACCCCCATAACTGAAAGGAAGCTCCACTGAAAGCAGAGGAATTTACTACTGCACAGCCATGTAGAGGATTGCATAGTCATTAAACCACAGATCTTACAGCAAGAGCAGAAGGCAAATATCTGCAATCATTACTGGCTACGAATCAGAACCCATTCTTTTCAGGAGCATTTACAAAAGCTGACCTTTTGACATTGATATAAAATAATTGGCACTAATTATTGTTGTTGTTCAAAAATAAGACCCACGGCATTCAATGCAGCGGAGCTCCCCAGCAAGTGAGTCTAGGACTGAAAATATTGCTCTGTTTCACAGCATGGTTATCATCCTCCCCATCCTCAGTAATGCCTCTGGTCGACTCTAAACGTCTCTACGAGCCGGCGCCTGAAGAAGCCCGGCAGCTGCCCGCAGACACGCTCCCGACGACCAGCCTCTCCCCTTTCATTCATACGCACACATACGCAGGAGCCGCCTGTTCTGGGAAGGCTCTCCCGTCCCGCTTCCCGCCAGCCAAGCCCGGCCCCGGACGACTCACTGAAGAAAATCCTATAGTCGAGGCTGTACGGGCAGCCGCGCTCTTCCACTGTGCAGCTGGCCATGGTGCCCGCCTGAACCCGGCTTTTCGCACGCGTGCGGCAGCGAGAGAGAAGGCGTCAGAGGCGCACTCGCCCACGCTGCCCGCTTATTAGGCAGCGCCACGCCCTCCGCCCCGCCCATCGTCGTATTGCGCAGGCGCACAATAACCTCCCTTGCGTTTCATCATCCGCACGCCACGCTGGGGATCAACAATGCGCAGACTCCTCAGCAAGTCTACTCAGGAAAGCCATCAGCCAATGCACGTTCAGCTAGGCAAGGACAAAAAAAACAAAAAGGCTGACTGGGGCATGCAGGGAGTTGTAGGCTTTTTCCTGTTTTAGCCTTTCTCTCTCCCTCCCTCCCACTGTCTTATAGAGGTAGAAAAAGTGTAGAACGACCCACTCTCTTTCACCTACAATTATATTGGGGATTTCTACTATCTCTACGAATACGCAGCATGCCTGTTGTCAAGTCAGCCGAGGGAGAGGATGTGGAAAAGGCGATTTCGCTAAGTTTACTAGGATTATATTGTGGTGTTGTTGCACTCTCTTTTCCAAGAGTACCTTTCTCACATCCCACTCCCACTGCACAAACACGGCAACAGGAGATGTTAAAGCTGGACTCCCTTGCAGGTTGCCACAAGCCCCTCTCTCTCCCCTCTCGCCCCCAGAGGCTTCCTGGAAGCCCTATTTCTGCTCCCACCATGCCCCTTGGGAGAAAGGTACCCCATGCAGTCGCATCATTCTGAGGAGGCGTCTAGGGCAGAAGGGATCTCTTGCCACCTCCACCTGAAGCGTCCTAACATGAGGTTATGGCATGATGTGCCGCATTGCAAGATGCACCGTGAGAATAACAGTGGCAGCCAACAAGTGGGAGCAAAATGAAGCGAAGCACGCAGTGGTGATGGGACCATTATAAACACTGCTGCCGCCACTACCGAGTAACTCTTTTCTCCAAAAAAGCATTGTGGGCTTGTTCCCTGAAAAAAAGCCACAATGCACAAACAGGATTTGCAGCTTGTAAAGTAGGATGTTGACCCACTTTCAAAATAAGGGCTAAATTCAATTTTAAATAAGTCGTTGGTGGGCAGGGCTGAAGGCAAAAAGGAGCACGGGAAAGGCGGAGGGGGACAGGGCTGCAAGACCCCCGCATGTTGGTTCAAAGTTCTTTTTCCCAGTAATTAAGCCTTAGGGGATGCATTGAAACCTCTTAGAATGGAGGAAATGTGCAAAAGCCAGGAAACAACCAGCAGTCGTAGACCAACAGGCCTGAGCTTCGAGGCAGCTATTTCGGTCCAACCCAAGCCTTCTTTTCTTCTGTATGGGTACTGTGGTTATCCTGAATGAGAGACAGCCTGTTTGTGACTCATCTCTTTTTAAAAAGTGCTTAAAGCATGACTGAAACCTTACAAGTGATAGCTAGGGTTGCCTCTGGACCAGGAAAAAAAAAATATCCTGACCTGCTTCTGTACCTTTTAGATGTCTGTTATGCATATACAAACAGGTGAAGCCTTTGATAGCATGGAGACAAACACGCGCAGCTGCTCATTTTAGCAAATCAAACCACTGTAGAAAGGACATCTAACCTAAATGCATCAGACAGCAGTCCCAAGCAAGCTGTTAAATTCACGGCATCTTATGCGGGTACAGATGATGCTTTCTTCAAGTTGCAGCTTTCTTATGCTTCACCGCCGCTGCTTCCATCTCTCTCTCTTAGCCAGAAAAGCAAAGCTATGAAGAAAACATTCTTAGACATTCCTTTTGTTGGCAGTGTGAGGAGCCCTCCTTCTGGAAGAACTCTTTGGCATCATTTAAAAAGTAGAAGACTGAGAGGATCCTTTATTTCTGTTACACTGTCAACAGTTATTTCATAGCAACATTATTATTTTTACTGCACAAGACAAGAAGTGACTGATATGACAAATAAAGTTTTGGCATAGGTAGTTTTTACTCACAGTGTAATGGAAGACAAAGGCATAGTACAGGTAGCATACACTTAAATTTAGCAAATTAATTTATAATTGATATAAAGTGATTGGAAAATTTGTCAGTATACCGAATAATAACTCCCTTTTTTTCTGAACTTCCATAGAGTACTGAATGGTAGAAAGAGAGATATTTTCAGTCTCTTTGAAATTTGTGGGCTTGAATGTATTATTCAAAATCCCTTGGAAATTTTAGTTTATTTTACATATATTTATATATATACACCTTTCTTTTTTCTGTATTTATGTCAAGAAAATAATAAAAATTATATATACACACACACACACACACAAAATTAATTCTCCACTTGTGTCTGCCCTTGACCTTCAAGGATACTTTCTTTCTGAAGCACACACTTCATTTTCTTGGTTGTTCTAGACTTTAAAATTTGGGATTGACAAATTATTTGTTTTTGTTTTTCAGCGCCAGGCAAAGACCTTTTTATTCAAACATCATTTTAACTGTTAATACTATTTATTTATTTTATTCTTCGGCCAGGGCGACTTATTTTATATTGTTAACTTGTTTTATATTTTTACTGTATAATATTTTAATTGATATATTTGTGAGCCGCCTGGAGGCTTCGACGAATGGGGTGGCATAGAAATTTTCTAAATAAATAAATAATAATATTTTAATCATGCAATTTTAGTTTAGGGGTTAGGCTAGGGGTATGGGGAGACACGGAAATGGAGACAGAAAGACAGACAGACCTGCCAAATTTATTTTAACCGTCCTTGTTCCTGTAACTTAACAGCAGCTTGAGCTGTAGGCTTTAGCACAGGGATGGATAACCTCTAGGCCAATATATCCAGAGGGCCACAACTCCTAGCATAGTTGATGCTGAAGCATTTTGGGAATTGTTGGCCAAAATGTCTGGAGTGCCACAGGTTGCTCACCTCTATCTAGCAGTTGATAATGTTTATCTTCATGCTTTATCTCCTGATTTCTGCAGGTCAAGGTGCTGTTAAAGGCAGAGGAGAAAGATAGTCTTCTTTGTCTGTATGGTAGACAACCTCATGCTGCAGAATTGCATCCCTTCCTGAAATGAAGTGAGTTTGTTCTCTCTTCTTCAGAAGGGAAATTAAAGAATTGCCCAGCCATTCCGGGAATGTGTTTGAAGGGCAAGGACAAGTCATGCTGAAATCAGTGTAGAACATACATAAAGCAGTGCTACTCATGTGTAACTGACATTCTGAGACACCAAAGAAGAGCAGAATCTCTTGCCCGCAGGTCTGATTCAGCCCTCCAGGCATTCCAATCCTGTGTTTGGAGTCTACTGCAGTTCCACCAGGAGGTTGGGCCTGGGCCTTAAAGTTTTGGTTTCTGAGGAATCCCCCCTCTTCCAAAGAGAGACAACAGGGAGGCTCTGCCTGCATGCCCCTCCCATGCACATGTGACTGGAGATGACCGGGGCAGCAAGGATATTGCTTGGTGCTGGGAAGAGCAGCCACGTGCACCAGCCAAGGTGCTTCAGCATCACCCTGGCCTCTTCCAGCACAGAAGAGGCTAAGGGGGGGGGGGGTAGCCATGCCCTCCTTGATGGCATCCAGTCCATGGAGGTTCTAAGGTGGAAATCTAGCCTTCACCCCAACATTGGTCTGCACCTGTGTTCCAGAACATTGGTATAGCTGGACTTTGCTTTGAAAAATCGGCGTATTGTCTTCTGCCTCACCAAATCTTGAATTTTTTGAGCATGTCAAAAAACTTTTAGGTAGGGATAATCTGACCATGTTATAGACTTAAAGCAGTCTTCCCCAACCTGGTGTGATCCACAGCTCCCATGATCCCTGGTCAATACGCCAGTGGTCGTATTAGCTGTGGATTATGAGCACTGTAGTCAACACATCTGGAGGATCCCAGCTTTGGTGAAGGCTGCCATAACCAACTTTTAATGAAATATCTCACTAACATTTCTTAAACTTTGCAGTTATGGGATAAATAGATACAAGTACTGGTGGATCATCTTTTTGGTAGGTTACTAATTTTGCAACTGGTTAGGATGAAACAGCTTGCTCTAGCAGGGCAGGAAATCTTCCCAGAATATGGTACCCTTTAATATTCATAAATAACATGGAAAGTGCTAAGCAATGGAACAGATGACACCAAAGCATCATTCAGGATGGTGAAATCCAAAACTGAAAATAGGAATACAGCCAAAAAGATCTCTCCAGAGTAAGTAAATGGCTAATGAAATGGCAAACAAAATTCACAGCAAGTTGTGAACCAATGTAGGGAATGTTTAATGCCTATCATTTCCTTGTTTGTAGGATTGTGGGTTATTTGTCCTTGTTGAGCTACAGCACCCATGGGTACTGCTTTGCACTCAGGTGTTGAGGTGGTTATGCATGGGTCATGCATGGGTTATCTGAGGGTTAAATTACCCTCAGATAGCCCATGGTCTATTCAAGAATTATAAATTGTTTACAATAAGTTATTACAATAAATATTTAACCCTCACATAACCCACACTTGCCAGGTTCACACAACACAACAAACCTCAGGCTGGGGTTGGATATACAAAATAGTGGCCACACACAGCAGCATTAATGTAAGTTGCTCACATTGGGTAGTCCTGGTGTGAGAACCAGGTCCCTCTGTCACTGTCCTAAAGGGGGCCATTTCTGAGTAAAGCAATTTTACTGAGTAAAGACTCAAAACTGCTGAAGTACAATTTTTGAAGAGATTCAGCTCTATTTCTTGCAGTCTGAATAAGGGCAAAGGTTTTTGTTTTATTCTAACATCACACTAAGTATGTTAATTCATGCACCATATGCAATGATGGCTATATTATTACCCAGCAATGTGTTGTGAGTGGCAGTCATTAAAACAATCATCATTATACATAGTTTTTGCTTTTCAGTTCCTTATGACAATGTAGTTTACATTCATCCTCCAGCATCTGCATAGAATCTTGCCAATTTGAGGTTAAAACTTCATATACTTTAAGAAATGGCAAGGCAATGATCTCTCCACTGCGGCACCAACATCTTTTTAGCATTGGGTTAAAACTCCCCTCTGTTCCCAGACATTTCATGGCATATGATGGGTGATGTCAGCTATTTTAATTAGGTCTAGCTGTTATTGAGATTGTTTTAGAGATATAAAACTGCTTAAAATCTTTGTATATTGGAATGTTTAGCTGCTTTACATTTATATACTGGAATTTTATACTGTGTTTCTCATTGTATTTGTAATTATCTCTTCTGTATTTTGAGAAATTGTTGTGAACCAGTGAAAGTCAGTGGTTAAGAGTGTGGGTCTGGGACTCAAAAGATTTGGGTTTTAGTCCTTACTTGGCCATGGATCTAACTGGATGACTTTCAGCCCAACCTACCTCACAGGGCTGTTGTTGTGAAGATAAGATTGAGAGGAGGAGGATAATTATGTAAGCTGCCTTGAATTCCTTCAAAGGAAGAAAAGCAGGATATACATATGAGAAATAAATGAACCTCCCAGAGTTTCGGCTATTGGGTGATTTAGAAATACAATACAGGAAATAAAGAAGTGGACAGTGTCTTTGAAAGCTTCTTCCAGAATAAAATGGTTTGCTTTTAAGGTGCCACAAGTCTCTTTTTGGTTTATGTATAATTTTGCATGTTTCGAGAATGATAAAGGGCAACAATAAAGATACCATTACTCTCAGTAATTTATGGTCCTTCTGAAAAAACATGAATATTGTTTGGTGCTTTCCATATCCTTCCTCTCCCCAACCCAAACATCCGATACTTGTGATTAGAGTTGTTCATTGCACTGGAATGAGAAAATGCCATGCTGGGTGAGATCCACCAAGCACTGAAACTGGGCTAACTGCATTAACGCGGGAGGTGGGGGCAGGTCCAGAATGCCTGCTTTAGCAATCTTTAGGTCATGCAGTATGACCATCATCTTCAGACATCTATACATTTGCACATTTGGGAACCACAGAGCGATGTTACCTACCCATCGCACACAGTTCCTATACTGAGTGGGTACTGTTGGGGCATGACAGATTCGAGGTGCCATGGCTAACCTGGCATCAGCGCTGTGCATATGGTATCCAGTCTTTTCACTTAAGCTTGGAGACATGGCCAGTATCGGAATGGAGGACCGGTGGGGGATCAAAGAAGCCGGAGGTGGCAGGGTGGCATGAACCTGATCGTGTGGAAGTGGTTGCCACAATGCAATGGTAACTTCTGAATCGTCCTGGAATAATCCCATGCTAGTTTATGGGGCCATTAGGGCTTGATGTAAACTAAATGATTGGTGTGCAGACATAGATGCCTTTCTTTGTGTGTACTATGAAGAGTTTTATCCTCCTGGATGGAGAGTTTTCTCCTCCTTTCTCCTCAATCTTTCTGTGATCAGCATCAGCATCGTCAAGGAAGCAAAGCCAGCAGCATCCAAGCAATGAGACTGTTGACCAGTTCCTGCAATGGAGTCCTTTCAAACCACCCATGCTTCCCATTGAAACACATATCCGGTTCCCCAAATCTCATCCAAGGTCTCTTCTGAAGATACATGAGGATTTAACAGAGAAATATACTTTTATAAACTGAAATGCTTTCTAAAAACTGGCTTGTGCTGCACTGAAGCATCAAAATCTGGTACTGGAAGAAAGGGAATTTCCCCAAATGTCATATCCTTTCACTTAGATGTCTTGGTCTTGTGACGCTTACTTGAAATGTGTTTGGTTCACGTGCTCAGAAAATAAAGTAATGCTATCTAGCCAAGTCTCAGATTTCCTTAGATATCCCAAGCTGGGGCAGTGACCATATTGGGAGAGCAACTTTTACTCTCCAAATCCTCCACCATCACGCCATGGTGAGCTACCCGTCCATTCCTCACAGGAAACAGTCCTGTTTTCAAAAGGCTGCTTTGGCCAGATTCAGAGGGCTGTGCTGAGTCACTACCATGAACTTCCACAAAAATTCGATTGCGTGCCCCAAACAGGAATCCACTGTTGTTCTGATTGGAATAGGTGTCATTGTGTTCCCTTTCCATGGAACAGAGCTGGACTTTGAAGGCCTCTTGGAAGCCTCTCCGGAAGTTCTCATTGAAGTATCCATAGACAATTGGGTTAATGCTGCTGTTGAAGAAAGCCAGCCAATGGGCAAATGGGAAGAAATAAACTGTGATGAGGTTGAGCTGATACTCAGTGAGGCTCCCGTAGTCCGTCAGCAGCATTAATGTCCACAAGGGCAACCACGAGAGCGTGAAAAACAGTGCCACAATGATCAGCATATTGATCACTTTGATTTTCCTCCTGGACACCCTCCGCCCTTCATGCTCCTCCAACTGGGAGCCACGTATGGGTGCAGATGATTTGAAGAGTTTGAAGGCAATCCGGGTGTACATGATCACAATCGAGGTGAGAGGGGCAAGGTAAATGTGAGAAAAAAGAATGGTGGTGTAGATTTTGCGCATCTCTTTGTCCGGCCAGGCCTCCCAGCAGGAGTAGAGCGGGTAGGAATTGTTGTAGCCGTCTAGCATGAAGTGGTATTCATCTCTGGTGACAGTCAAGGTGACTGCAGAGGGACACATAATGATTAAGGCTAAGACCCAGATGATAGCAATGGTGACCAGAGCTTTCCGCAGGCTTAATTTCTGTCTGAATGGGTACACTATACAACGAAACCTAGGTGAGAAAGAAAAAGCCATGTATTCAGCTATCAGAGCAGGAGTAAGAAACCCGTATTTCCTCCATGGCTGTTTGAGGTGCTTGTGGAATGTAGCGGAAGAAGGCAGGCTCAAAGGGCCTTCTGTTCACCCCAAGGATGCCTTTGGCACTTCCCCCCAACCACATGGTGTGTTAATAGAAACACGCAAGACATCCTTGTTTGAGTCCTGACCTTCTAGCTTCTTTAGAAGGGGAGGAGAACTGTGGGACAAAAGTCATTCAAAAATGCTTTTGTACAAACTGACCAAACAATTTCTCGTTAGCAAATGTCAGCTCTAAACTCCCTCATCAGATTTTTGTGATGATGAAATGGAGTAATCCTTAGGTTAAATTCTATCCCACAGTTGCCTTCTGCTGAAGTATTCAGAAAAGGCTAACTAAAAGGGTTTTTTTTAAAACCCCCAATGAAATACGTAGTAACTTCTTGGGAACACTATAAATAGAAAGTGGCAATAGTAAAAATCTGATACATTACTAATAAGGAATTAAAATATTATACATAGATAAATGTATCTATTTATCAACCCACCATTTTACATAGCTGTTTGTGTTTGTTCATAGGGAGTATCCTGAGGGAGAAGGTAGTTGGTTTTGCCAGAGATAAATGCATAAATTAATGGTGGCAACATGAAAAAGGGCCTTTTCAGTGGTGGTCCCCAGTTCTGGAACAAGCTTCCCACTGAGGGCTGCCCTGCGCCAACTTTACTATCTTTTCAGCACCAGGTAAAACTCTCCTGTACTGAAGGGCATTCAAGTGGTCTACTGTGGCCTGCTAGCTATTAAACAGGTCTTAAATTTTTTTTTCAGGTTATTACACACACACACACACACACACACACACACACACACACAATCTACTTTAAATTTGATTTTAAATATTGTACTGTAAGATTTTAATGTTTTAATATGTTTTGATATGATCTATCTTTTATTGTTATTTTTATGTGCTATTGTGAACTGCCCAGACAGTTTCAGCTGCCGGAGGGTATAGAAAAGAAATGAACGAACAAACGAATGAATATTTAATTGATATTTTCCATAAGTTATTGCTAAACACTATGTAAAACAAAGGAACACATTTTAGGGGGCTTGTCCCAGTGCATTGTGTCTGACAGTTTATTTCTCTTCCTCTCCCCAGAAGAGCGGACACTAGCATTCCTCAGCCAGGGACCACAGATGTATTGGACTACAACTCCCAATGCTGCTCAGAAGGATGGGTATCTGGTGAAAGGTATAGGCCTGATTGTGTGTGTCTGTGTGTGGGTACACACCCTGTCCATCCCAGAAGTATGTTCCTAGGTAAGGTTTCTATAACCGTGTGACTTAACTTCAGGAGAAGCAACAGAGAAGAAAGCCGGCGATGCAAGCATACCTTTCGACTGCAATGGCCACCAGTGTGAACACAGATGCAGAGACGGACATGCCTTGAACCAGCCCACTCATCTTACACATGAAAACGTTGAACGGCCAGCCTGGAACGACACAGAGAGAGCCCCAATGATGCACTTACATAAAAGACCTTGGCAGGGCAGTATTTAATAATTGCATGGCAAAACAAACCCTTGTTCAAAGGCTGCCAAACCACGTACAGTTTACCTTAAAAGTCCAAGGCTTGTCATCTGAGAAATATTTGATTGGCACTTTGAAGATGAATATATTACACTTGGCTGCACATTTTCCTGCTCGGAAAGCTTTATTAAAAAGTGTTCTTCATCTGTATGCCTGCCACTTGGAATCTGGGGGAAGGGAATCATAACTGAAAGTTATGACAAACTTAGGGGTCAATCTAAGGATAGCTAATTAAATTGTTTTAATTTATTGTGCATTTTATTCTATGTAGTGAGCCGCCCCGAGGCAAAGGGCGGCATAGAAATGTTTTAATAAATAAAAATAAATAAATAAGGATGAATGCAACTCATTTCTTTCTTACAACGGGTGGCAGCCAAAGTCTTCTGGAGCAGAACTCCACAAACTGGAGGATCCCACAGGTGGGGTGGAGAGGCAACTCCTCCTCCTCCTCCTCCTGCCACTGGCTCCTGTTCCTCAGTCTCTTGGGTTTGTAGGAGAGTTGAAGGCCTCAGTGCAGTTAGTATGGTATCAGGAGCAGCTCAGTCCAGCCATCAGTTAGGCAACAGGCATAGACACTGCAGCTCAAGAACCTCTCCAAAGGCCCCCCCCCCCCTCGGCATGGGAGGTGGTGAGGCATTTGTGTGCGACACGGTCCCTTTTCACACACGACCTTTTCACACATGTTAATGGGCATGATCCAGCTTCCTGCCTCACATGTCCAGTATCCACAACATACTGAGCAGGACTTCTAAAAGTCCCAGAAGTTTAGGAAAGGGCAGGAAGTGATATTCAAGCAGATGTGACTCCAAAACTTTTGGATGTTAGGGAAAATTCATCAGAAAGTTAAATCAAAAAGATCTTCAGAAATGTATGTGATTAGAAACATAGAAGCAGAGCGAGTCAGAAGGGGCCTCCCAGGTCATCTAGTCTGACCCCTTGCTCCAGCAGGCTCCGCTCATGACATGCCCACCATGTGCATGTCCAGCCTATCCTTGAACACCCTCACCGATGGGGCCTCAACCACCAATTATTTATTTCATTTACAAGATTTATAGATTCTGTATATCCAATCAAATACCTGCATGTTAAACAGTAAAAAAGAGACTAGAAGGGAGGGGGTAGTTTAAATAAAATGCCTTCAGCCCAGGGCGGGGCTTGTCTAACACCAACAGGCAGGAAGTTCTAAGAGGGAGCCAGTACATTGAAGGCTCTGCTCCAAGTGGATTCCAAACCAGGGTCGATGAAGGCCTCCTATGAAGCAGGGTGAGGCACCCCCATGAGGTCACAGACCGGTGGATGAAGAGAATACCTTTTGTATACTCAGTGATGCCAGGTAATCTTGGGAAGCAATGCACCTCAAAAGCTTCTTCCAGATATATTTTATATTTGCAAAAGACTCTATATATCCTCTTAGAGGTGGGAAATAAGAAAGGTAAACTATTTATAGTTGCAAAATTGAACCCAATCAGTAAATAGTTATCTGAACCCTTGCCAAAAAAGAGGATTTAGTTCCTGCTTAAGAAAAAGGATAGGTGATAACATCAGAAAGAAACAGCCTTGATTGTAAGGTCAGTTGAAATAAAATATGTCAGAAAGCTGGACCTGTGTCAACTCAATTAATAATATAATACATTTTCATACTATTTAAAATGTATCTGCATCAAGATTTTCATGGTATACATATATATTTAAATTTAATTGGTTTGCAGCCCAAAGCTATGCATACCTACCCAGAAGAAAGCCCCATTGAGTTCAATTAGACTTCCTCCCAGAAAACTATATCGTTCTGCAGCTTTAATCACATAAAAGGTGGATGACCAATCAATTTATAAATTGATTGGCAATCCTATTTATTATCTATTTACTATGAGGAATAATGGAGATTTGCCAAATTAAGCGCCAAAATCCCCCCAGTGTTATTCTTATTGTTATATTGCGTGTCACCTCCCTGATGAGACAACTGTATTCGCACTGATCATTGTTAGTCAGAATTACTCCAAAGCCTGAAAATACGTAGTGTTTCGACTGTAATGTCTGCAAGTTTCCTCTAGGTGTCTCCATTCTCCATCTGATCACAATCCCCTCTTAGATGTTTGGGACTCACTCAGGTAGCATTGCTGTCCCTTTAAAATGTACTGACTTAAAAATGTTTAAATGTTTAGGGCATGATCCTCTTTTAAGAAGGGACACAGAACACATCTCTGTTTGTGACCATTACGGGTAACTACTTCCTTCTATCACTGGTGTCTCGTAAGATGGGAAATTTCAGTTGGTGCGACAAACTCTGAAAGGTGATGAGAGAAGTGGCTACTGGCAAAGCTATGAATGGTGTGCGTCAAAATGGTCGCTCTCCTATCTATCTATCTATCTATCTATCTGTAGATAGAAATATAGAATGTTTCTGGTTCTTGTGATTTGAATGTGTAGAAGCAACGCCTAAAAATCAAAGCAGCAAAAGGGATTGCTGCATAAGATTACCAGTGTGGAAGGAAAGACTAAATTTAAAGGAAGTTCAGTCCAATTAGGAGGAAGTTGTAATTCAAATGGACTTTTATTAATGCTGCAGTATGGTAAGGAGCAGTCCCTGACCAGCCTTTCAGCATCTCCCCCTTCTGTTACAAGCACAGCTTTTTATAGGTTACATCAGTCACGTCTGATCTCGTCTTGGAACACAACAAAACAGGAAAGGAGGAGGGTGGTGTCATAAACAGTTATCAATCATTAACTGTATCTTATGCCTGGGGATTTCAAAATACTGACGATAACAGCAAAATATATATTCTCCAGAAACTTATCTTTATTCATTGGCTTTGCTTTATACTTGGCTTCATGATAAATTTAAGCTGCATAGCTTTGGCTAACCTTTAAGCTAGTTTTCTTCTGTACCATGGCAGAGAGCAGGACTCCTGTGCTCGGCAGAGCAACATTCTGCAACTAGTAGAATAACTGATGTGGAAGGATACTATTTAAGAAATATACTCATGCATTCATCGGCATAGTGTATGCAAGGCTGCAGAAGTTAAAGAACTGATGCCAAACAGCAAAATGATCTAGTTATGGATCAGACTTGGTGTGCAAGCCACAGATTTCAAAGTACGTATAAAGAACCATCTGCTTCTGCAGCTGCATGTGTGAGCTAAAACGGTGAGTGAATCCCTTTCTGCTTCAGTGCTGAAATTAGAAAATTCTCCACTGACTTCCTGCATCTCAGCTGGGGGAATCTTCAAAGTTATTGTGCATTTCTGCTTGCTTCACAGCAGTGTTCTTTAATGTGGCAGAAGAGGCAACGGTGAACAATGGCTGCCACTTGATGAGGAGGAGGAAGGCAACGGTGGGGCCAGCATCCAGGCTATCCATCACTGAGGAAAAAATAGGAAAACCAGGAAAACCGCAGAATCTATCCCCAGTTGGCAGTTTTCAGATTGTAAAATATCGAGACATCAATCTGGACTTGCCATGGTTGACCCAGTAATTTTTCCAAATAGCTGTACAACAGAGTCCCAAACAGCAAAGGTATACCAACTTAACATGGTTGTTTTAATTTGTAGGTATTATAAGCAATATACTTAATCAGTGGTTTTCAAACTGCGTGGTGATGGGGTTGTTGGAGGAACTGTGTGAATATGACTTGATAGGTATAACTGAAACTTGGTAGGTTGACTCCCAGTACTGGAATTCAAGAACTGAAGGGTGTAACCTGTTCAAGAAGAACAGAAGGAATAGAAAGGAAAGTGGAGTCACACTCTCTGTTAAAGTTACATATCTTGTGCAGAAATACAGGAGGATGAGCTTAGTAGCCCCATCAAGATCTGGATTAATATAAATGGAGCAAGGAATCAAGGGAGCACAGTGGTTAGAGTCTATTACCAAGCACCCCGTCGAGGAAAAGATGAGGATGAAACCTTTGAAAAGCCAACTGCCACTGTTTCAATGGGGCATGATGCCATTATTAATTTCCCCAATATCTGTTGGGAGACAAATTTTGCCAAACGCAGCCCTTCCAAGAGGTCCCTAATACCTGTTGGTGGTATCTTCCTCCAACAGAAAGCGGAGGAAGGAACAAGAGGATGGCTATCCTTGACTTGATACTAACCAACAGGGAAGACCTAGTGGATAAAGTGGCCCTTTTTATTCTTCCGTACTTTTAATGTTTAATATTTTAACTATGTTTTATGCTCAGTCGCGGATTATTTTGTATTATTTGGGTATGTATGTATTTATTGGATTTCGACTTGTAAGCCGTCCAGAGACCTGCAAGGTATTGGACGGGGTAAAAATACCCAAATAAATAAATAAGTGGCAGCTACTGGGGGAAAGTGACCATGCCTTACTGTAATTCTTTATTCTAAAGGAAGCAAAAGCCAAATATGTTCTCTGGATTTCAGGAAAGCCAATCGTAATAAACTTAAAACAATGATAAATAAAGTCCCATGGCAAGTGACTCTAACAGGAAAAGAAGTCCAAGATGGGTGGATTTTATTTTTCAAATGCAATTCTAAAGTCACAATGGCAAACAACTGCAACATGGAAAAAGAATAGAAGACAACAGAAGAAGCCCATGTGGCTTCACAAAAAAACTTAGAGATGACCTGAACACAAAAAAGGACTTGTTTAGGAAGAAAGGTCAGGCTACAAAAGAACACTGGCAGGTAGCCTGGAATTTCAGGGAAGGCTTCAGGAAGGCTTACATTTAGGAATGAACTGAGGCGAGCATGGGATGCTAAAGCAACCAAACAAACCTTCTTCAGGTTATGTCCAAAGTAAGAGAGAGAGTTAAAAATGGGTGTTCAACTACTCATTGTGGAAGGCAGAATGATGACAAAGAAAAGGCAGAAGGGCTCAGTTCCTATTTTGTCTCTGTCTTCTCCCTAAAGAAGATCTATGACCTTCCTGATGAAGGGAA